AATTATTTAACGGTAATTATTAACGGAAATACTCGGCGATTTTTCAACTTTCCTCGAAATCGAGCTGAATTTTATAGAATTTCGAAAATTCTCAGCGATTTTATAATTTGGATTGCAAATCTGAATGGTTCAATACTTTTGAGTTTTTTCAAAGTTTTCGATAAACTACTTACTAAGAATCTTAATCGTTTGGCTAGTATATTTAAGTCAATAGAGAATTTGTTTTTGGAAAAAATGATTTGTCTCATCATTCTATACGCTTAGTTTTTTAGATCTAATTTAGATTCATTCTTTCGTTCCTGGTTCTGTTCTATAAAATACATATAAACACAGTTCCTTATATGTGACAAACGTAACTGTATGTTACGTCAAACAAAAGTGTAAAATTATTTTAATTCAAATACAGTTTATTGTAGTTAAAAGGTAAGTTAATTGTTTGCTCGCCCTTTCTGTTTTGTAAGCAGTGTATTTTTATGTTAAATTTATTTGTTTGTAAAAATCATTTATTGTATGGCTTTAGCCTCTGCGTCCTCGAACTTCAAAACACTTATCCAGAACGATTTATCTTTTTGGATTGTGACAAAAATCGACAAAAAGGTAAGAAAACCAAAAAAGACTTACAATCTACAATAGGGGTGGAACTTTCACTTTCCTACCTCGAGTAAAAGCCTTTTATCTTTTCTTTCTGCAAAAAAAAGACTTCTTTAAAAGGTACAAAAAATAGTCTTTTCTTGCAAAAAGAAAAGAAACCGCTTTTCTTTCTTTTGGACAAGAAAAGGTGCCACTTTCCTTTTTCTTAGGAAATAAAAGATATGCGTTATGTCTTTACTTTTGAAATAAAAGATACCACTTTATCGTTACTCAGAAAAGGAACGGGAAAGTGACACCCCTGATCTACCATCCACAAGAAACATCTTGCTTTTGCTTTTACTAAAAAACTTCTCGAGTTTCATTCTATTGCTAGTTACCTCCTTTCTGTTTGATTTGCGCTGTTTTTTCGTACAAAAAAGCGCCTCCTGAGAAACAGTAGAGTCATAGAGGATGCGCGACAAAAAAATAAAATAAAATTGAAAAAAAACAATAACGGTTTGTTCTCGTGTTGATCTGTGTAGTCGTTTCATGATCAATCCTTTCTAACTGAGTTTGTGGAATACATTTGTTGACCATTGTCGGGGAAGGGGGGGATCGTTTTCAGACGTTTGACCGTTTTTCGACTCAAATCATATTTCCAATGTAGTTTCTGATACTGAGAGCATGTTGAAATACGTATGTCAACAACTAGCTATGCTCCTGTTCGTACGCGATCGTACGAGGAGTACGAAATCATATAATGCCGTATAATACGATTTTCTACGAATCTGGGTGTATGACGTCCGGCTTATTCTTATAAAATCGCACGGTAAGATTCGTAGCAGCTTGTATTATCAGAATCATACGTGATCCTACAGTACGGTTTTAAGCAATTTTTCTTTAATGTCTTTGGTTTGAGGGATCCGGAAAATCCGATAAACAATTGCTCCTACAAACTCAAAATAAAAACCCTTTTACAACACGAGACTTTCTTCGCAATGAAAATAACAAAATCAAAAATAACAAGAAGCAGAACACAGCTGAGTGATGTAAAACTGCTGACATTTTTCGGAACAGTTTAATTGAAGCAAATTTGAACATTTGTCTCAGAGTTTTGCGATTATAACTTTGTAGGCATCCATATACTTTTTTTTATTTTCTCTGGCAAAGATCTTCATCAGTCCAAAATGGATACAAGTGTAACGAAACCACCGTCACTACCATCGCCGTCGCCACGTGCACCTGCACCGCCACCACCACTAGTGATTCCTCGCAAAAGTCTAATAAGAGCTAATAATGACGTAGAAAATTATTTAGTTGTTAATCCTATTCATCAGAAATTTTTGCAAAATTCAAGATTTTTTTCATATTTTCAAAACTCTTTACAGAAAATATGTCCGATACAAACTGAAATCATTCAACAACATCTACCAACAGCAGAAGATAATAGAGATGATGACGACAATCAATTGCTCGATTTTAATATTCGGTTATCAGGAACAAGAGAAAATATACAATCTGGTCGTGACGTTATCAAAATTTTATTGGAAAAAATTCAGACAAAAGTATACACAGACGAGAAAGGTAAACTCATTTATTTGAGAACATGTTATGTACAATGTGCTGTCGTCATTAAAATAAGAAAGATTATTAACAAAAGCCAGATTTATGTTAGATACTAATCGTGTACGAATGACTAAAATTGGAATCTACCGCTAGTATATGTGTGACCGTCCTTTTCCACAGTACTTAATGGAATTGTTAGAAATGTGACCCTAGTATTTCAATTTCAGTTAAAGCTTGGTTTCGTTATCCACCAGCAATCAGTATCGTACAGAAAATTATGGACAAGATTGACAATGTACTTACTGTTTGCGAACTAATTGATTATACAGATGATGATTTAATAGTTCATTATTTCAATTATACTTCAAATGATGCACAAGAAATTGATAAAATAATTTTCAATAATATTTTAGATGAAACAATTCTGCTACCATTAGACAATCAACAAACAATCAAATTGCAAACAGAAATAAATGAAATAATAGAGAGTCAACAAAATCAAGAAACAATTTTTGTTGCGCTAAATGAAATTATCAATAGAAAATATGGAAGGAAAAACGAAGAGCAAATTATCATTTTTGGTCATATCGATTTAGTGAATAAATTTAAAAAAAAATTTCATAATTTAATCGATAGATATCGATTAATAACATTTAAATTAAAACAAATGGGTTCCACTCATGTAAGTCCGTGAATGATGATGAGTGTAGTCTGATACACTTAACTTTGAGGGAAAGGCGATGCGATCGACGTTAGAGCTCATTTTCACACTCGTGATAGGAACGAACTGGTCCGAAACTGGGTGATTATTTTACAAGTTTCAAACTCGATATCTTTCGAACACACTCGACCGTATTTAACATATAGTGATAGTGTCGCTTTGGCAAAAATAATGGCTTCAACAAAGTTTGCTGCGAAATCCTCGCCCTTATACCGTCATGTATTCCTGTGTAGCATAAGAAGGCTGGCGTAATTAGGCTTTGTGGCTATAAATTCATAGGAACTTTTCATCAGATTAAAACCGTCAAAAAAACAACATGCATAGGTCTTTCTTCTCCCTTGGATGTTTTTGACTTAACAAACGCCGTTTCGGTTCCAACTACAGTCAAACATACTTTCATTGATAATATTTTCTTTTCGGCATCTCTTCAGCTTCCGAATAGTTCAACTTCCAGTGCACTAGGTAAATCACCTCATTATGTTCTTTCGTGCTCGTTTCCATATACTCAAGTTTCTGTAAGTTCTACTCGTCAAGTTTACGACTTTGTCAATGTTGACATGTCAAATCCCTCACGGAAGCTGTTTTCTATTAGCCCAGATTTCTTTCATTCTAAAGATCCAAATGCTGCTTTACAACTTTGGTTAGATCATACCATTTCTGTCATAGAGGAATGTGTCCCGACTAAGAGCACATCACTTGTTAAAAAACGTTGTTTTCTACTTTCTCGTCAAACGCGTTTCCTAAAGCGCAAAAAGGAATCTATGTTTCAAAAATCAAAAATTAAACATCGCCCGTACCATCTTTATAAAATTTACAAGCAATGCCGTAATCTTTCTATTCAATCTTTGCGTGAAGATGAAAATAATTTCGTTCAGTCTATAATGAACACTTTTTCGAATACTAAGCGTTTCTGATCCTCTCTCAACAAATGTCTCTCAACCGAATGCGATCTTCCTGCTGTTCGGCATAACAATTCACTTACAGCAACAGACAATCAGTTTAAAGTTCAGCTTTTATCAGAGCCTTTTCAAACTACATTTTGTAATATTTCAGGACCATTCCCGGCCGCATCAGTGGTGACTTCTACTATACTTTTCTCTGAGATTTCTTTTGATGTGTCTGATGTTTATTCTTCTATCTCAAAACTTCGCGAAACACTCTTCAACTTTTATAACTTATCTCTCTTTTCTTTTGCATTATCAACAAAATGTCTTAAAATGTACCATCCCTCTTCGATGCCATATATGAGTCTGTCAAATAAGTTTATATTTCAAATATAACTTGCTCTTTTTAGTATTTCTTTATTTCTTCACTATTTTCAGTGTTACATTAGCATAAGCTAGCCTTTCTTTGCAACAATCATGCTTGCAAAAATAAAAATTCAGTTCAGTTCAGTTCAGATGGTGATAGATGAGGATGAAGAGATACTGGGTCCTATTTCGCAGCGAGTTTCTGGTATTTTTAAGCTCTTTGTGAATGCGAAACTGTCACTCATTCACTTCAAACCATACTTTCTTTTAGAAAGATTATCTTCTAAATGATTGTTCAACAGAAATATGGCAAATTGAAGAACAGTACAGAGATGACGGTGTAAACATACGATTAACACAAGATGAGTTCGATTCTCCAGAATATTTAAAAGATGAAATTGAATCATCCGTCAATCAATTACTATCTCAATCAAAAACTAAGAGGTTCAAAAGTATAGAATTATTTTCTGATATAGCAGAAAAAGAATGTTTATATATAAAAAATATTGCAAAAAAAAATCATTGTTATATTGAAATAAAATTAAAAACAAAATTAAACATACACGTTATACCAAAGGCTGCTGTTATTACGCCACCATCATCAAAACGAATAATTGAACAGTCTAACTTATTATGTATTTCACCAGATGTATTTAAAAGAGCTAGGATGACGAATGGAGGGCTAATCGAAGTTTTCATTGGAGATATAGCTTTACAAAAGGTTAGTAGTCATTTTTTACAGAATGTTTCTTTAATAAGGTGCCAATAATTCAAAATTTGAGCGCATTTTAGTTTTTTCGATATTTATACATGGATCGATAGAGTTCATCTAGCTAAATCAGAATATTTAGCAATTCAAAAGATATTTGGAGGATCGAAATTTTTAAAAAACTTTTCGACTGACATTTTTGATAAAAGATCAAAGTTGTTTAGAAAACTTGAAACCAGTTCAGTTTTTGGTGCTAATTTCAAAAATGAGATTGGTTTTGCAAAAAACATTGGAAATTTGACGGCGAAAACAGCAAAAAACGAGGGAAGTTTCTTGGTTTTTGCTACGTGCTTCAAAAAAGTTAATTTTCTCAACAATGAAACAATATTTTCCAAAATCCATTCGTAACTTTTTCCGTGCCGTTATGGCGAATGTAATCATCCAAAAATATTAGCTTTGTAGAGATGAAACTATAACTATGACATCGAAATAGATGCAATTTTGCATGTAGAATCAGAATGAAAACTTTCAAAGCTTCCAAATTCACCGGATTGAAGATTTACGCTCAGGTTTTAAATTGTGGGCCGTTTTTCAAAATCTTAAATTTTTAGTTTTTCTAAATTTTCGATTCTCAGTTGTTGTTTTTGGAACGCTGAAACACATATATTCTGATCAGAGCCCTGCAAGTTGCCAATATTTGGCAACCTACAACCTAACCTATAAAAAATTTCACAACCTAATTCTAACCTAACCTATGGATTCGACAACCTAATCCTAACCTAACCATTGAAAAAAAAAATAGAACAACCTATAATCTAACCTAGCCTATAACTTTTGCAACCTAATCCTAACCTAATCTATAGGTTAGGTTAGGATCAACCTGCAGGGCTCTGATTCTGATTCAGCTCGATGAGTTCCATCGACCCATGTCTAAATATGAAAAAATTAAATTCGTACAAGTTTTGAATTTCCGGCACCTTACATATATATGTAGTGTTCTAGGTGGATACGATTGTCGTTTCATCCACATTGACTGGATTGAAAGAAGTTATAATTGAACGAGCTGGTGGATTACAGCAGAATCCTGTAGAAAATGAAAAACAATTCGGTACTTTTACGTTAACCGAAACAAACGCTGGTCAATTATCCTGTAAAAAAATTTTATTTTCAAACTGGTTACCAAAATTCACAAGTAATGAAAATGTTTTACGAAAATCTGTACAAACATTTATTTCACAATCAATACAATATGCAACACGTCAACAATCACAACAGCAGGATATGAAAATTGAATCGATCGCATTTGTTGTTCCTGATTTATCTGGTGATTCAATTGCAAAAGAAAACATTTTAGCACATGAAATGATGAATGAAACAAAACATCAAATTGAATTAAAAAAATCATTTCTTAAAATTTCATTTATTCTATTACCGGAACAACAAACATTATATAAACAATTTTCAACAATAATTGAAACAATGCAAACAGATAACAACGGTTATGCACAATTTTATTGGTCAACATCAAGTAAAATTACGGATTTTTTAAACACTTTTTGAGTAGCTTTTTCTTAGATACGAGAACTTGACGTTTTTTGCATAATATTCTCAAGCCGCCAAATAGGCGTCTACCACGAGCAAGAATTCTGATTCAACGTAAATGATAGAGAGTTCAGGCTGTTTCTGTTTTGCAGCAAACATCTATGGCTAGGAGTTGATAGAGCCCGATTATGGGATTTCTCATTTACTGATTTCTGATCCTTAATAGAACTTTAAAGTTAGAAAAGTCCTTGGTAGGTTTCTTAGCAATCCTCATTTCTATTCCCCAACGTCTTGTTACTGAGAATACCTGCGCGTGGCGAAAGCCTTGTAGCCCAGAAACAGTCTTGGGAAAAGCGTAAAATACGTTTTGCTTGAATATGTATCGCATCGCCTTCCCCTCAAAGTTAAGTGTATCAGACTACACTCATCATCATTCTCGAACTTACATGAGTGGAACCCATTTGTTTTAATTTAAATGTTATTAATCGATACCTACCAATTAAATTATGAAATTGTATTTTTAATTTATTCACTAAACCGATATGACCAAAAATGAATTTCATTTAACGCAAGAAAATTGTTTCTTGATTTTGTTGACTCTCTATTAGTTCATTTATTTCTGTTTGCAATTTGATTGTTTGTTGATTTTCTAATGGTAGCAGAATTGTTTCATCTAAAATATTATTGAAAATTATTTTATCAATTTCTTGTGCATCATTTGAAGTATAATTGAAATAATGAACTATTAAATCATCATCTGCATAATCAAGTTTCGAGTATACCCCGAAATCGAAAATATCTTACTCTAAGTGCAAAATGAAATTTTTCTTATAGCAAAACACCAAAACACCAAAACGACGTAACAGTTTAGATTCCTTACGTAAAGTGTAAACTGAAGTTAACATGCAGAATAGAATAAAAGTGTAGAATCCTCTTTAATGTGGAGGTCTGATAATAACAACCATTAGAGAAAAAACAGACTTTAATTTCGGGTAGCGAGGCCCGATGCATACCTAGTTTTGATTCTGTTAAAAGCGCTGTACTTAAAAACTGTTTGAGCATTGAATAATTTGTGGATACTTTGCTATAGGTTATCGGTCATGACAGATTCAATGAACATGTGTGGCACATGCATGCGTTTATGTAACGCATACATGTGAAGCCATTTTTTTGCTATAGAGGGTCTGGAAAACTCACCCAAAACCTATGAAAAATCTATTCTATCGACACAAAAATTATGCCATTAGAAGTAGATATTTTTGACTATCCAATCATGTGCTTTTCTCAAAATCGATATTTTTGATGAAAATCAGCATTTCTGATCCGGAGGGGGTCTTAAACCATCGGGTTTTATAGTTAGGATATTTGCAAGAGTTTGTTGAAATGCATCTGATCTGAAGGTTTTCAGATATTTCATAAAATCAACTATTATTCTTCACTTTAGTTATGAAAATTACTCTCACATCATCATCACAAGAGTATTTAGACAAATGTGAAGCAAAATTAAAAAATTATCTAAATCGATGTATGATTAAACTGGAAGTAACAAAAGATGGTTTTAAAGAATGGAATCAACACATGATAAATGCATATTATAAATTTTGTAAAGAGAGATGTGTTTTACCACAAATAATTGAGAATAATAAAGAGCAAAAACTTGAATTAATTGGAACAAACAATGGTACCA